CTGAATCTTCTCCCGGAAAGCCAGGCAGGTTTTAGAAGAGGCAGAGGAACGACGGATAACCTGTTCATTCTCTCCCATCTCATCCAAAGAGAGAGGAAGAAAGAAGAAAAGAAGATGTACGCGATTTTCGTGGACCTAAAAGCAGCATTCGATAAGGTGGATAGAGGAAGGTTGTTCGAGATAATGGAAGATAAAGGAATAGATAGGAGCATAATAAGAAGAATAAGAAGAATTTATGAAGGAACTATAAATCTAATAAGGACAGGAAAAGAAGATACGGATAAATTTACAACAAAGAAAGGAGTAAGACAGGGATGTGTGATGAGTCCAGCTCTGTTTAACTTGTATATAGCAGATCTGGATAATTATATGAAGGCAAGAAATATAGGAGGAATTAAGTTAGGTAAGGATAGGGTTTGGTCGCTGTCATTTGCTGACGATATGGTAATATTAGCAAAGAATAGGGATGCCGTGCCTGACATGATGTGTACTCTCAGGAGATTTTTAAGGGATAGGATGCTAATCTTGAATACTGATAAAACCAAGGTAATGATATTTAATAAAGCGGGGAAGGAAAAGAAAGAAAAATGGAGTTGGTTAGGTAAGGAATTAGAAGAGGTGCAGGTTTTCAGATATCTTGGCTTTCTATTCAACAGAAGGGGCGATTATAAGGATCACTTAATAGAGTTAGGACTTAAAGGTAGAAGTGCAGCAAATAGAGTTTGGGGACTAGGAGAGAGGATTTGTAAAGATGATTTTGCGAGGAGAGGAATGTTTTTTATTTATCTGGTAAGAAGTATTATGTCATACGGAGCTGAATTATGGGGATGGGAGGAAAGGAAAAATCTGGAAAGTTATGATGGATTATGTTAGATGGGTTTTCAAGCTAGATTTTTGTACGCCGAGGTATCTGATAACTAAAGAATTGGGAATAAGGAAATTAAAAATTGGTTGGGGTATACGTGCGAGGAGATATGAGGAGAAAATAAAGGAGATGGATGAAATTAGGTGGGTAAAGATATGTTGGAAAGAAAAACAAAGAGAAGGATGGACTGATATTTATGGTAGAGAGAGAGAGAGGCATATTATAATAGGAATGGGTGGGGGATAGCGGCAGTAGATAGTATGATAAGGGAAGAGAGAAATTTGATTAAAGAATTAGTAGAGAGAGAATGGGATACACAAAGTCGATGGGAAGAAGGAAGGATTAGAGTAGCGAGATATAATAAAAGATATAGAGAAATAGCTAAAACGAATGAAAGACCGAAATACTTAGAAGGGATAAACTCAGAAAGGATAGGTATAGGCATGGAAATTAGAGCGATGTTAAGATTAAGATGCGGAAATATGGAAGAAAATAATAAATACTGGTTGAGCGAAGAGGACGAAAGGAGAGTCTGTTTATTTTGTAAGGAAGGAAAGGATAATTTAAAACACTATGTAACGGATTGTAATATAGTATCGGGATGGTTCTTAGAATTAGGTAATAGTGTAGAAGAGATAATGGAAAGATTATATAACGATATAACAGATGAATGTAAAGGGAAAGTATTGTGTAAAATATGGAAGGAGAAGGAAAGGATCAAAAGATTATCTAGTCTTGAACAGTGAGATTATAGTGCGACGACACAAATTGTGATAAATATGAATAGGCGGGATATGTATATTAAGTGGAATAAACAACAGATTAAGTTAGGACTGTATAAGGATTGTATATTTTATAGATAAGAATAGAGAATAGTTTAGAGTTAGTGCGGGTATGGATGAGTGAATGAGTTAAGTTTCTTTTGTAAACCAAGTCCCACTTTCTGGCTGTAAGCTAAAGTGAATAAAAGATTGATTGATTGAATACCTGGGTGTAGGATGTAACCGGCTTGAATAAGATCGGGTCAGCAGTTTATTTAATGTAAAGAACAAATGTATTTAATAACTTGTTACAATAAACTTGAACACGAAAAGTTATACGACTCAGACTTGCTTCGGTCTTACTCCGAGCAGGTCCCGACAAAGAGTGTTCGGCCCTAATCGTTCGCCGAAATTTAACGGCGTCCGTTGTCACGCCGTTAGCGCGTGTCGACCGCGGGTGTCGGTGCGCGTGAGCGTTTCGCGCAGCGCTCTGCGCCGTGCTCAGGGGCGTTTGTGCGTCTGAATTTTGAGGGAACCTTTCAGCTCGGCCGTCCTGGCTTTCAGCTTTGTCTCGAAGCTGTGGATAAGATTTTCTTTTCGGTAAGTACAGTCCTCCTTTTTACATGTTTTCTTTTTAGCTTAATCTAGGCTTAATATCTATGCGCGTTCCTAACCTACGGGTGTCCGAGATCGTATGTCCATTAAGTTTTACTATTTTACATTCGTATCCTTGTCTTCTGATATAGGAACCGGTTTAATCCAGGGTTTTATCTTGTCTGAGGATAGAATCGTGTCCAGTGGTTTTGGACCGTGATTAAATCCCGGTATGTCTTGTACAACGTATCTTTCGCTTCTTAAGACCTTTGCTATGCGGTACGGTCCTTTGTAGCTCGGCTTTAATTTTGCATTCTCCCCTGGTTTAACTCTCGTGTTCCTTATCAGTACAAAATCATCTACCTTATACTTAGTGGGTTTTCGGCTATGCTTATCCCTATATTTATTGTTGTATTGTTTAATGATTTCGTTCACTCTTTCCGCCGTGTCTCTACTACTATCCCTAATTTTTTCTAGGTCGCAGTCGGCATCCGTCAGTGCTTTGACGTATTGTTGCAGCGGAAAGTCCGAATGGTTTCGTTGTTCATACCCTAGCAACAACTTGGATGGAGTGGCTTTAATACTTTTGTGGTAAGTGTTGTTTATTACGTATTGTAATTTTCCTAAATTATCTCCCCAGTCGCCGGGGTCATCGATGATTTTTACTAACGAACTTTTTAAAAATCGATTTACTCGCTCCGCCATCCCGTTCGCCCACGGGGCGGCTACTGCTACTTGTCGATGTTTCACTCGGTGTTTCGCGACGAAGTTGGCAAATTCTGAGGAGGTAAAAACAGTTCCTCTGTCGGAGATTATTTGTGATGCTTTCCCGAACATGTTAAATATTAATTCTATTGCCTCTACTGCCTCTTTTGTACCTGTTGATTTCGTCGCGAATAACCAGGTGTATCTTGTGTACGCGTCGATTATTACAAGAATATGTTTATAACCTTTATTTTCTTTCAGGGGTCCGAAGTGATCTATATGGATCGCTTCCATCGGCAGCTTCGGAGTGGTTCCAGGCTGCGTTTCGCCCTCGAACCGATTCAGTGCGCTATTCGCCATTATACAGGTAACGCAATTTTCTATATATTCATGTATACGCTTATTCATTTTGGGGAACCAATAATTTTCTCTAATTCCCCGTAGGGTTTTTTCCGCAGTGTGCTACGTCGTCGTGGTGTGCCCTGATTATGCTCAGTACCATGGATTCAGGTATTACAAACTTAACTTCCTCGCCTTCCTTTCTATATACTAGACCGTCTATAATTGTAAATTTATCGCTTTCAGTATATTCTAATTCGGTGCTTATTTTACAGATTTTTTCGTCGGCTAACTGGCGAAACTCTAATTCTTGTTCCAGTGGTAGCTGGTTTACGTAACCGATGCTACGGCTTAACGCGTCAACATGTGCCATTCGGGTACCGGGTCGGTGAGTTACTTTGAAGTTATATATTTGTAACGCGAGTGTCCAGCGGGCAATTCTTGGATTTATGTTCGCTTTATTAACCGCGTACACTAAGTCATTGCAGTCTGTAATGATATTGAAATTTTTCCCGTATAGATAAACGTGAAATCTCTCGACCGCGCGCACTATGGCGAGCATTTCTAGCTCATAGCTATGATAATTTGATTCTGCTTTATTTGTCGTTCGACTGAAATAGGCTACCGGGCCCCAAGTTTTTCCTTTGTAACAGAATTGCTCCGAATCCCGACCGGCAGGCGTCGGTATGTAATTCTGTTTCTATCGCGGGGTCGTATAGGCGCAACACCGGCGGTGCCGTTAGCTCGCGCTTTAGTGTGTTAAACGCGGCTACGCATGTTTCATCGAAATGAAACGCGACGTCTCTTTTCAATAAGTTTTGCAACGGTTTTGCCTTCATCGCGAAATCCTTTATAAATTTACGAAAATAACCGGCTAGTCCTATGAACCGTTGGACTTCTTGTACTGTTTCTGGTTTTTGTAATTCTCTATCGCGGTGGTGTGTCTCGAACTTAGAGAAATGCCCTCGCCCGAAACTAAATATCCCAAAAACTCGATACGCTTTCTGAGGAATTCACATTTTTCATAATTTAGTTCGAAACCGTACTCCCGCAATTTCCCGAGTGTTTCTTTGAGAATGTCTAAGTTCTCGTCTACCGTTTCGGTAGCGATAAAGAGGTCGTCAATGAAAACAATGATTTGATCGCGTCTTATTAGGGGATTGAGTATCTGTATGATCCGTTTTTGAAACTCAGCCGGCGCTTCACTATATCCGAAGGGCAATTTCTTAAACTCGTATTGTCCGTCGGGCGTAGCGAAGGAAAAATATTTTGTTGACTCGGGATGTACATTTATCTGGTGGAATCCGTCCTTTAGGGCTAATAACGAGAAGACTTTCTTTTTTCCGAGTTTCGCGAGGCAGTCCTCTATTATCGGAAACGGGTATTTTTGCTTATCCACTCTACTGTTGAGCGGACGTAAATCTACACACAATCTAATTTTCCCGTTTCTTTTCCTCACGGGGACGATTCTAGCGCAATACGGTGATATGCTAGTCTGGATTATACCGCGGGCTAGCAAATCATCGGTGATTGCTCGAATTTGCAGCCTCTCTGCATGCGCAAGTCGCCTGGGCGCGTATACGTAAACCGACGGATCGCGAAGGTGAACCTGTACCGCGTAGTCATCCTCTACAGGTACCATGTTCATGTTATTTATA